CCGGTCTGGCCTGTATATACTGCAGAGCATGTAGTTGGTACTAATGAATGTAGGTATATATCTTATTACCTACTCTCGGAAATATATACTCCGATATTTCTATTTAGGTGAGTAGTGCTAGAACACTTGAGAATGGTGTAAAAACCGAAACCTTGGTCGTATTAATATCAATACATTAAGTAAGTGGAAATCAGACAAAGTATTTTATTCCTATATCTATTTGAAGATGAATTTCCTCAAAATAAATAAGTCATCAATATCACAAAATAACATCGAATTGACAGGTCATGAAAATTGAAAATATTTTGTCAGATACATTTTCAAATAAATAATTTATGAGGTAATGTCTTCGAAAGTATTCAGAAACTGAATACAAAATTTAGCTCAATTTTGACTAAATTATAAAATTCACCATGAATATGAGATATTTATTTTATCAACTTTGCGAGGTGTGGTGATCAAAATGATATATATGCTGTTTTTTTATTAGCTGGGAAAGGGAACAAAAATTTATTCGTAAATGAACAATCACCTGAATCAACTGAAACGTTGATACGTCAAGAAGCGTACTTCTACCACGCGACTGAAGGTGACTGCCGCAGTTGAAACGTTTGGAGATTGTAACCAAAGAAGGCCACGGCAAAACTTGGAAATCAACCAAACCAGATCGTATTAGTGTTCACATAATTGGTTTCCAACGATAGTTTTGATGGAGTTTCAGGAACAAAATTACGAACATTCTCAATTGATCTCGTAATATTTACACATTGCCGCAGCTGCATCCGGAACGTTTGGAGATTATAACCAAAGAAGACCAAGGCAAAACCCAGAAACCATCCAAAACTTTGACGCCAGCCGTTATGTAGTAGCCACTATATGCAAAATACAGAGCCATAGATACGATTAAATTGGATACGTTTCTCCAATGCACGTTTAGAAATATCTGTCACATTCTTAAAAAAAAGTATTTGATATACATAAACTTTGTCTTCTACACTAAGTAATTTGGACGAATCGTTCAAAAGTTATCACGATAAGATTAACTTGACGCATTCTATAAACCAACTTACATTTGAATTCGTTGAGCTGCTTAGGCGTGAAAAAGTAAAAACGTAAATACATACATTACATTCATTCATTCTCACGCATTTATAGTATTAGTAGGAATAGGATTAGTAGGATTAATAATGTATTTCGTTCTTATCCTTTCAGTTTTTTTGCTGATGCTATTCAATATTGTATAAGTGGGTACCTATTGATTGACTGACACTCCGATATTAACGTACGGCCGAAGCTGCTGAATCCAAAATCTTGATATATGCAGGTAGGTTCTTTGTATAGGGTAAATAAACATCAAGAAAGACAATCAGCAATTTCCACCCCAAGGAGGAAAAATAAGGGTTGAAATATTGTATTGAATTTCGTCAGTTTTGAAGTTGGAAACCTGAAGTTTCGGGTTGATGAAAAAATATTGCAACTATTTGTTTAAAATGGTATGTCACGAAACTCAATCTGACGTACCAAATTCTACGAGGGCGAAGCCGCGGGCAACAAACAACAAGTCAATCATAAACCAGACTTCGGACATCTGTCAGCTGCTACTCCGTCTCTGTCTGCGTATAATGAGACAACAAAAGATTACCAGCATGATGTTTACAATAAGTCATATAAAAATGCTTAATTTATTTTGGTCAGATACGTAGTTCAGAACTATCGGTTAAGAAATCGTTTGCGACTTATTTCAGTAGGACGAGAGACAAAATGATAAAAGCAGTTGTGTTTTTATGTGGACTTTTGACAGTGAACTGTGGTTTGACACCCTTACACATTAAAGGAATTCAGATCAAAAATAAGGGGGACGAGAGGTTATGGATTGAAATGACGAATGAGGATAGTTTTTCATTGCCACCTGGACAAGTGGTGAGTTACAAATTTGATCAACGTTTCTTAGAAACATAAAACGCTTGTATGTTATGTGTGAATCCATAAATTTCAGGTTTTGGCATTCTATTTTGATATCATTGAGATGTCTGGCATTATTAATTTTCTGCTGCTTTTAGTTTCGGTAGCCCAGTATTTCCGAATACCTTCTAACTTAACTATAAATCTTCAACTATGCCTTGAAAATTTCGTTTTATTTTGTTTCAATTTTCCTGCATAAAAATATGAAATATGACAGATGATTGAAAATATTTATATATTATTATATACATGAATGTTCTAATGAAAATCAATGTATCTAATTAAAAAAGTAAAAAAGGCAAGATAGTAAACTCTAAGGTAAATTAATTGCGGTTTTACTGATAACTTGAAAGGAAATTGAATTTTTACTGAAACCGTAACCTTTGAAACCAGTCCTTGACTTGACTTGCATTAACAAAGATAGATAGACATTTATTGATCATACACCAATTTACATTGAATTGATCAAAAACAGAAGAATGTTGAAATAATAAAACAATAAATCACTTCAAAAAACCATTTTCAGTACACTGTACATTGACAGTCAGAAATGAATTCTGAAATACTATAAAATCCCCAAGATAACAGATAACATTTCAATTTTGTTTCGAATCTGAAGAAGTTTGGCTGATTCTTCAAGTCATCATGTAGCATGTTTTCCAATCTGAATTGGTTTCTTTGACGGGCTGAATAAAGTAGTTTTTATGAATGTAGGCAAATATTAATAATTTATACAAATAGATACTCGTGAATGTCAATATTCTCTTTTCTTTGAAAACATCTCTGCAAAATCCAAGTGGAATACCAATCGTATGATTCTTTTCTGTGCTATGAAGACTCTGCTGCTGCCAGTAACGGGACCATGAACTATAATACTATAACTAATAAAAGAATATACCAATGCATAGTAAACGCTCATGCGACCTTCTTCATTTAAGCAGCTCTTTAAATTTTTCAACGCAAAGAAGTGCTTATTCAAGGTGGAACATAGTGACCGAATGCATTTGTCCCATTTGAGGTTTTCCAAAAACTTGGAGCTTCTTTGAATTGTGATTGATACAGTGATTATATCCAGGTTTTCACCAATGACTCTTACCGAGAATAGCAACAGTCTTCGAGTAGTTTATTATTAAATTGTTCTTCTGAAACCACTGGACCAATTGACTTAATACGTTTTTTGTTTTAGCTACTAGATCACCTCTGTTAGGGCCAGATATCGAAATTGAGAAATCATCTGCGAACATGTAAACCTCTCCATCTTTCACATGTTCGGGAAGATCATTTATAAATAACAAAAAAATCATGTAGTGATTATCTTACAACTAGATTCAGTGGTAGATATTCCTAGGTTTGTAAACTTCCTTATTTCACATGAAGTTGATTATGAAAAGTTACTGTGAAAAATAAATTGTTTGATTATTTGAATGATTTTGAAAAACTACGAGTAATTTTTTCGAAGTTTTTGATCAAGACGTGGAGGTACTCGAAATTTGTATTGAACTTTATTGTTCCCAATAAACTACAAAATCTATAATAGAAAAATACTCAAACAATATACCAATTTAATAAAAAAATAATCATCTCGAAAAGGAATCTCGAAATATTCATCTCTTCCAACGTACCTACATCGTGGGTTCAGCTAAATGCCTGCCCGGCTAATACCGGGGAAGTAGTTGTTTTTCAGCAAGTAGTTGTACATATTGAATTATATCCGACAGACATTTATGCAAGATACCTCACAGAAGTTAGTTTCGCAGATGTTTCTTGTTTATCCAGCAACAGGACCATGCTGAAATAAGTCGAGTAGGTCACCTACAGACAGGTTTCGAGGCCTACCACCTCTCAACAGTGCAAGAAAGATACGACCCAAACAGCAGTGTTTGGGACAGTCCCAAGCACATATTAAATAACTCGTGAAGAAAACAACTCCAATTTTTTTCGATTTCTTACATTCAAGTATGACCAGAAGTCCGTTAAATACGAAAGAGAATGAAAGAGGAAATAATGGTTATTCTTCATAGATGGTATTAAAGTTTCAAAAAAAATATTCAATATTTCCAAAACCGTTTGGTATACTCTAGGGATATTGTAAACCGTGACAGTTGATAAACCGTAATTTGAAGTATTCATACACTTGAGGAAGCTACTGTGCTAGCCAAACATGTTGTGATTATATTTTTTCAAATAAAAGTTTGTGGAGATCGAATCGTGACCTGTAGTTTTTGAAATTACTATGGATATTCATCAAGTAACGGCTGAATCAATCAGACGATCAGAAAAAAAAGATAAAAGTTTATAAAAATACTTTCAACTTCAAAAGTGGCGTGGGTACGGGAATTGTTTTCGATATTTTTGAGGATAAAAATGATACGCCAATAGATTTTTCTTAAATAACATTAATTTTTGAATTCCCCGCTCAATTTGAGATAAACACAGTTTTTTTAACAATGCGTTGTTTTTGAGAAAACAAATAAAGATCTTGTACTGTCCATGAAAAATTTTATTGAATACTTGATTGATAGTTGGGCAGTGACAATTAATGAAGCTGCACAGTTCTCGATACAACATAATTCTCCAATTCAACAGCGGCATACGTTCGACCATTATCTTCAATCTTTTCTACCAGTATGTCAAATCTCTGTTTAAATCTGTTTTTCCGTTAATCAGCTGTCGCCCCCATACAACGACAACTCTCAGAAGTTGAGAAACTTGTGCGAGGTAAGGACTAACGAGGTCTTACCTTTTAACATGTGATTCATAAACACGGTAATGTTTGTTCACATATCATTTTTGAATCCCCCGTTCAATTTTCAAGAAGATAGTTCTCTGAAATTTATTCTGATTGAACAAATTTAACATATTACAACAACTAACAACATAAACATCATTATCGTGGAAAGATAAAAAAATCATCGATAATATCTGCAATCACTTAATATGCATGCTTCTGCTATTCTTCTTATGAAACTGCGTACTCGTTGAAAAATTCCGGGCGTATTTTGAATTCTATCACTTTCTGCAACTATTCTTTTTCTCAATTCCTCATCAGTGTTAATGGGAATTGTGTACAACTAGCGTCTTAAGATGTTATCACAAAAAAATTCAAGCTATTGTGGTCTAGAGAACTTGCGACCATTCTTGAAGCCCGCTGAGGCCAATCCGAAGATTTGGGTAAACAGTTTGCAAATAATTGCCAACTACTTCACTGAAATGTGCTGGTGCACCATCAAGCATGTACCACGTTACGTTATTTGTTGTCAAGGGTTCATTTTCCAGCAGCAGTTACAGTTGTTGTTGAAGAAAGTTAAGGTAAGACGTCCAGTCATCCAGGATAGAAGAAGAATGATCTTCTTCCATGAAAAGAATGTGAGATTCAAATTGCATAATATTTATTTATCACTGGCAAAAAGCAACACGCCTTCGAAAATCTTTGGAAAGTAATGCCTGAACTGAAATGGTGAGAATATAACAAGGAATCCTCTAAAATTCTCTACGAAATTTATTGGCAAGTAATAAGCTGTCTATAATGGATTATAAAATATAAAACTGACCTTCAATTTCCTGTAGCACCGATTCCTCAATTTCAACTGTTTAAAAAAAATCTGTTTTTCCGTTAATCAGCTGTCATCCCCATACGAACGACAACTCTCATAAGTTGAGAAACTTGTGCAAGCTAAGGACTAACGAGATATTACCTTTTAATGTGTGATTCCTAACACGGTCTAAACTGTTCTTACACTTTTATTTGAGGTCTTCCTTCGAATGTTCCCTTCCGGTTTTCACAAGACGACGATGAAGATTGGAAAACGTTTGTGTATCTGGCAAAGCACGATTTGGGTATCTCTGGTGATGAATGCGTCTAGCTCGCTCTCCATTACCGTCGGCTAGGCCATACAAGTAATGCACATCTGCCAATTCGAAATTCTAATAATTCACCATTATGAAATTGTAACAGTAAACACGGTCCAATGAAGAAGATAATTCACAGCGAATCGATTTGAATGACATACACTTATGATATATTCCGAGGCAAGTAGATTTGTTTTATATTGACGAAATGAAGTGTGAATCTGAAGTGAATCGAAAGCCTAAGTAATGTCGAGTTTCATATAGTTCTTCAATAATTTTTGGGCAATACAAGGTTTTTAATAATTGTGCTCAAAAACGGCATGTTACGGAAAAAACTCAAGAGAGTTCTCTTGTTTAACACTGAACGGGGTATTGAAAAAATAATATCCATTTTCATTCAACGTACCAGTAGAAAATATCAAAAATAATAGCCGAACGTATTCCACTGTTGAATTGAAGAATGATTTTTTGTATTGTTAAAAAAATTCATTGAAGAATATGAACTTTTATTACCTGTCACTGTTTGCCAAGTATCACTGAAATATCCCAAATGGTTTCTGCAATCAATTCAGAAGACTTCATCAGAGGAATGAAATTATGAATCTAACAATGGAAAATAAACCCATACCTTCTGAGAATAACACCTAATTCTTAGGCACCAAAGCGGATGATGATATGAACTGGAATAATCAAACCAAGTATTTTACGCAACGGAGCAAGATCAATTAATCAGTTTCGTACAGAGCTAGACATCTTTTACCACATCAACAGCGTAACGAGAAGCAACTAGGCATCTTTAAAAAGATCTTCAACTCCAACTTCAACTTCTTCTACTCCAAAGTGATGGCAGAACAGATTTTGGCTAGAAGACAGCAATATCCTCACAAGGAAGAGAAGCCATCACAACCAGTGCTTACTGTTCCCTACGTTTGAGAGGAAGTTCAAATAAGCTGCATACATGTTGTCCAACGACGCATTTAGCCAAGCTAGCACCGATATATGCAGCATATGGAAACCTTTTATCAAGCGGTCAACTTCCATTAAACCGGTGAAGCGGAGAGAGGAAATAGGAGATGGGTGGAAGCGCTTGAATGACCTTTAAATAGTCA